TAAATTTAAATTATTAAGGAGAATCGTACTCGAGTATACAGAATACAGGAGAAGTTGAAAGTTATAATAAATGAAAAAGTCCTCGACCCCTGGTACGATCAACCTAGCCGCTTCTATCTCAATTATCCCCTAAACGTTTTCCACAACTTCCGTCTTGTAAACCGCTGAAACGTACATAACCAAGGAAAAATGATTTCCATGTACATGCATCCTGCATGCCGAAACAATAATTGAATAACTGAATTCCCTTTCCCTTCCCCTGTATTCTCCCTTATTTCTATCAATAAATCGGAAGTGACCTTTCATCTGCTGGCTCGCGATGGATAAGGATGAAAGTATACACGATGAAGATAACAAGGTAGACCAGTAGAATTACGTACAAAATGACGAGGGAATTAACCGGCTGTCTATCGTATTATCGCAAATAATACTGGTTTGGTAGCCGGTACAGTTAGATGTAATTAGACGAGTATCGGTACGAACGCATCTACGAATCTTTCGACGCTCGTTTCAATCGAATTTTCGTAAAAACTACGCGGGACATCGATCTGACCCATGTCTCTGATCCTTTTTCACCACCCTTTGTTACGAATCACCGAAAGCTGACGAGGGTCGTCGGATGGAACAAGAATCTCCCTGTCCTCCGATCGAATTTCAACCAACGTACAATTTCGGCCCCCTCGAGAGAGCTTTTCGACTCGACCAGTCGCCACCTTTGGCGATCCGATTACCCGTACAGGTGAGTTGTAAGGTGGTCGCGCGAAAGGGGACAGGTAAAAAGGAGATAAAAGGAGAATCGTTGTACCGGTGCTATTTATACAAGGATCTCGTTGAATAACTCGTGCAATACGTTCGAACGACATCGATCTCGATCTGTTATCAGCGCGATCGTGAAGAGAACTGGATCTAAGGCGGTACGAATGATACAACGCGAATGGGACGTGTAACGGACTCTCGTGTTTTATACGAATACAAACTGCCATTCCATATCGCCGACAGTTTTACGACGGTCGCGCTAATCGCATTTTCATTTCAAATTAAACTATTAGCCGGAACGCTTTCCGCGCGTATCACTGACGCTGAAATGTTTACTGGTAGCACAGAAACGGACGTCTCCAGGATGGCATAGTTTAATCATAACCATTAATTTTTTTAATTGAATTATTTAATGCGCCACTTTATGCTGATAGTAAAATATAAATGGCGTGTTCGAAATTGTGTTCCTTTTCTATTTCTGTTTGAATTAATTGAGTATCGCGATGGAAATCTTTCTCGTTCTATCTCTTAGAGACGCGCAAGTACCCGAAATTTTCGTGTTCTCCGAGTATTTCTATAGAATTTCTTCGAAATACCATTACAGAGGCACCAAATGAAACAAAATTTTTCGACGATTTTAATCTCTCCGTCAATAGAATCGTATATTTGTTTTTTTTTTTTCTTTTATTAACCGTGTTTCACCTGACGTTCCCAATCGCTAAAAATGAAACGTCTCTTTTCTTCGGTCAAAACGTCGAGTCATCCTTGAGACATCCATCAGATCTACTTCATCCGAGGATGGAATTGAAAGCACTCGAGTCGCCAGCGAGTAGTAGCCGAAGATATTGCACGTGGAGCAAGATAATCCACGTCCTGTGCCGGCTACTCCAACGATGAAGAGATTCCTCGGCGGGAAGGGTAAACGACCTTCCCTCGGCACCTCGCCACGAGAACACATAGCCTCTCGAAGCACGGGTTCGGTTGTTACCAATCAAGCCAGGATCTAAGAAATCCCAGCGGTAGATTACAGGATAGCCAGTTCTGGAATTGTACTTTTCCATCGTTTGATTCGTCTTTTCATTCCATTCGCTTTCTCGGTTACCTCGGCCGATGCTTTGTCTAATGTTGCGGTTCAAACCTGCCCATCCTCTCGATTCGTAATTTTTACATCTTCCTGCTGGCTTATTAGGTGGAATTTATCGAGCCGATTTCCACGAGGAACTCTATCGTTTCCGATGGATTTCTCTTTCCCTTTTGTTAACGCATCGACGATCCGTATCCGGGGAGACTCGAGTAGGGCTCTGAGTTAATTTAGATCGCGCGGTTTATAAGAGGATCACAAATGAAAGCGCGACTGAAAATCGTAGTATATCAGGATAATAAAAGCAGAGCTTGGCAACATTTCCTCGCGTTTAACCGTATGACAGCAGCACGTAAACTTAACGGCCTATTACCAACCTAGTGTTTACGATTTCAATTACTAGTCGCCTGATAGCCGGTCATCAAACGTGCGTGTCACGGATAAGGTTAGTCGCCAGCAAGTGTTTCGTTGTCGCACGCCACTGATAATTTCTCGATCGTTTCTATCGACCGGACGATCAGGAAGTACTCTCTGTACGAGTTCGATCATTCGATGCTGGTATAATTAAACCGTACCGCGAAGAGAGCTACGGGAAAGGCGGAGTGAACTGGTTCGTTAGCGGGAGAGAGATCGACACGACGATTAGAAATAAGCACACAGCAGCTACGTGCATGTTGCCAACAGAAAAATATTAACGATGGTTTATCGAACTATGGACTCGCTTTCAATCGAAGAAAACCTTCGGTTAGGCTGATCGTACCTGTAGAAGTTGCGCACAGAAGGGTGCTTTTGGGTGCAAGGAATCTTGGCTTCTAGATAAATGGAATAAAAATAAAATAGAATACTAAAGAAATGAATCTTGCTCTGGGTGGCAGAAAAAACACTAAAGAACCACTTACCCTGAAGAAAGCACCTTTCCCTAGAAATCCCCGAGGAGGATCAATTTTCTACCGAGAAACGCAACTGTGTAGTTAAACGTACAACGGGAAAGAAGGAAGAGTAGCAGGTGCAAAAGGCCCGCGCAGACGGTTTTACATCGGAAATAGACTAGTAAAAGTTGAACCGTTGATGACGCAGAGTAGCATCCTGAGACCAGCGAGTCCTTGACCAAGGTTTTCGCTCTCCTCTCAGGAATTAGTGATAATTATACGAAGCTAGCACCTGCACGCCAGCCGCAAAAAGCCCAGGATCGACCCTGTTGCTTTTGCACTGGACTGCGGTGAGTCACGGTACCAGAATGACTGGATCGAGGAGCATTAAGCTAACCTACCTGTACTGCGTGTCTACGAACGAAATTGGACGAAATAATGCAGGAAATCGAAGAAAAAAGGGTTTCGTCGATTGAAAGAGGCGGGGCAATGTTTCTTTTTTATTTTCTATCCTTTTTACTTAGAAAGAGATAACTAATTTCCGTTTTCTATTCAACTTCCTGCGGTCGAGGGATACCGAGGAGGATCACCTGTGAGCCACTTCTTTCAGTGAAGAAAATCAAAGAGGATTCTTATTGCAAAATAAAAATTACTAATTTCTGAAAAATATTCGAAAAATAAAACTGAAGTATACGCGTGTGGAAGGCGAGCCTTCCAAAAATATCCCATCAAAGTAGAAAGCTTTGCGGTCGTATATCGAGCGTATGGTTGGAAACTCCGGGAAATTCGAGCACGGGATGGAATGTACGAGCAGAGAGCCGCGTAAAAGTCAAATAAAAAAAAGAAAAAAAAAAGGAGAAGAGCTAGAACATCCGACTGACCAACGCGAATCGCATTCTTATACCCATCAATTTTACGCCACCGAGAATTTCTTCTGGGTATTGAGTCGTAAACGTGGAAATTTACGGACACCGCGTTTTCGACGGGTATGAATAACACATTCAGCCGAAATGGCAAACCACTTTCACGCCCACGTTGCTCCTGCAAATTTCGCGAAGCGGCCCAAGATTCCCCTCGTAAATAATATTCGAATTGAGGTGGAATACGAGGCGAGTTGAGAAAAGAGGAGTGGATCGTTGTAAATTGACGAAAACATATGATTCTTGGCGGAGACTTTTAAAATGGACCGACGAATCCTTTGCCGTTAAATCTACCAATTACTTTTGAAAGAAATATTAATTTTCACCGTGGCACTCGATCTATAAGGTCCCGTTGCAAAGATACATCAAACGATAAAAATAAATATTTAAAAAAAACGCGGGTTACAGTTAATCCAAGTATAATGACAAGTGGAACCCGATTGAAACCTCAGTCAAAAGTTAAATGATCGTCGATCGGATGAACCGTAAACAGGTCCGATCGATAATGAAAAATAAGAAAGGAGAGGAAAAAATTGATGACACAAGAGGAACAAAAGGAGGACGAAAAAAGGAGCAACACGAAGAAGGTTCGAACGAGTTCAGCTTCGATTCGATAAAGAGAGCTTTGATGTACGAGCACGGACGGGCAAGCAGTTTGTATCTGCGAGTCGCCGCGTCTGAAAATGAAAAGATCCCCGGGGACGATACGTTGGATTGAATTCGAATGGCTTTTGGCAGCGGGCGTAGTCGTTATTCTGATTTATTGCGGCCGTTCGCGGTGCCCACAGTGCCGACAGAACGACGCGAAACAATAAAGCCTGGCCAAGCTGAGTGCTCGCGTAGCAACGTTAAATAACGAGACGGCCCTGGCCGTGAAAGAGATTCGATCTAAAGTGCCGGTTACAACATTGTCGTAACAACTTTCTTCTTCTTCTCCTTCCTCTTCAGCTTCGTCCATCTATCGCGTCCACATTTTATCGATCAACCCTTGCGTGCCGCGACTCGCGACCGACTATCAGCGGAATTTTTTTTAAATTCCGTCAAATTTAATAAATAGGTATATGAATCATTTTTAACACCATATTCACTGTGGCAGTTAACGTGTTAATCTTAGAAATAAATTCTTAAAACACCCTAGTATATTTTCAACAGAATCCCTTTGATATCACGAACATTCCATTTCACGAATCTATATTCGAATCGGTTCCTCTTTTGCATTCGCAACGCCAGTATTTCTTCCCCGAATAATTCCGCGACGATAACCGTAAATCGTGATCGGAAATTCTACCGTTTCGCGTGAGAGGAAAATATCTATGTTTTCCTTCATTTCCCGAATGATCACGGTATACGTACGAAAGAAGATATCTGACTTACCCTTCAGCTGCGTCGACTCGATGGCGAACATGTTCAATGCGAGTAGCTGAAGAAGTCTCGTCCCAGGAAGTGGTAGAGGCGAATGCTGAAGAAGCGCTCTGAACTCTTTCAGCATCTGAACACCAGCCTCTTGAAACGTCTCCATCCTGAAATCAAAATTATCTAGTAATTAGTACCTGTCCTAATATTTCAAATTGCTCTTGTAATTAAATTATATTCAGAGCCTTCTGTCCAGTCTTAATGTTTCAATTATTTTTATCTCGTGAAGACGAGCAATTTAGCAGACAGTTTGTTTGATTAAAAAGAAAGAAATGTTAACCGTGAAGTCAATAGTGACCGACGAGAAATCAAGCTGCGAACGATGAATGAATAAATGAACGTGCCAGCCAGGACTCGTATCAATCTCCCGACAGGATCGTGCATATTTCAGACATTTTGGTCTGGATAAGGACATCGACCCGTCCTGATACAACGAAGGACGTACTTAGCCCACGTCACTTCCTGCTTTCTTTGTTAAATATCGAAGGGATCGTGTTAAATTTAAACGAGATTGCATACCCGTTGGCTATTAATCGTGGCTATTAAACACGCGTTTGCTACGTTTAAATGCAGATTTATAAGACTGCGAATCTAATTACAGGTAGCGCTGCATCGTTCGCACGAGTGGAGCTTTAACGAAGGTGAAATAAACGCAGGAAATGAACGCTGCTGTAACAGAATACACCTAATTATCATGAAAACACTATTCTATTATTGTTATTCATCATTGAAGTATGCGATGGTGTTACAATTTAATTATGAAAAAAATTTAACGATCTTTCGATGACGTTGTGTACTTTTTTTTCTAAAAGACTTAAAGATTGATCAAGGAACACTATTACGTTGAGCTTCAAATGCTCCAGCAAGACGTTACCATTGATCAGATTAGGTGCAACCAATTTTATCAACAGTAACGATCCACGAAAACCTGTTCAGAGGTTAATCTTCGCGAAAAGAACATTTTTGTCGGCGCTTTTGAACTTGTCGCTGTGCTCGTTTTGAGAGATCGTCGGGGGTACTTGAAACTACAATCTGTCCGGTCTTCGAATCGACCCACGTCAGTTCCGGTATGTCAGATGTTGTAATTTGTCAGAAACAAACCCGTACCTCCGTTCTAACGTATTGTACTTCTTATACGTTAACCCTTCAACGACGGAGTCTCGCCAAAAGTTAAATGGAAAATAATTTTGTGCGTCCCAAAGTGAAGTTCAACTCTATTTTCTCTCGAACCATCGATGCATGCGATAAATAAATCACCGATCAAGATTCAGTAAGCGTTTCGCGATTATTAACGTTGAAATCATTGGAACTGCGCTGTTAATCTCGGTTGGCTGAATTCGAATGATAAAGGGGAACATTGCGGCTCCCATGAGAGACATACTGAAGAGCCGTACCCTCGTAAACATGGCTGGAGGAACGTGAAGGTGAGATCTCACGTAACGAGGCGCTATCTTTCCCACAACCTCGATCTCTTGTTCATGGCGCCCCGTGCTACCTGCTGAATTTACGCTATGGAACGAACACATCACACCCTTGGGATTGAAAACTAGAGAAAGGCCACTTATGCGCCAACTTCGGGATCAACTATCCGCCGAACAGAGCTTTAATTTACACCTAATCGCTTCCAAATATATATAAACTCACCGAATCGGATATCTCTCTACATTTCATTCGCACCGTGTACGGAGCCTCGAATTTCCAATAAAATCGACGGCGAACGTAAAGGCGCGTTACTCAAGGCCGAGGAATCCCTTGCGTAAAGAATGAAAGAGGAAACTCAACTTAGCGCGAAGGGATGCAGTAAAACTCACCTCTTTACTAAGGATCCATAGAAGATATTCCAATTTCACAAGCGAAGACTGCGCGACCTTTGACACCGTCGAAGGGCTTGTTTATTTCAGCCCAGGTGCCGCTTCGATATTACACGAAACTAAAAAATCCTGGATCCAGTGGATCCAGTTACACGTTCACCAACGTTTATGGTAATAATTTTATTTCAATGTTCACTCGATTCACGAGGCGCGAACAACCTTTCGATCGTTTTCGCTCTTGCGGAAATACACGATCCTTATTCGGTTACCCGTAAACTCGCGATCGATTCGCAACTAAACATCTAATATCGTCGAATTTTATAATCCCCCGAACATGCATTAGGTGTTTGAATTTAATTCTGACCAACAGTCAGAAGACAAAATAAAATTTATAATAGACTCTCGTTTATTTGATAAAAATGTATCAGAAATGTTTGAAAATGCATACGAAGGTAAAATCGCCCACGTGACAATATAACGATAATCCGTTATGCTAAAAAATGATCTAGAGTACCATTGATTCGACCACTTGCAATTAAAAAGTGGTTTGATCGCACCGCTACCCTAATCAGTTTTCAAACTGTAATCAGGTTCAAATATAAAATAACGATCTGCATCTAGAACTCTACCAGAACGGTTACTGAAGTCACGAAACTCGTCGGTCAGGTGTACCAGCGACCGATTAACTTTACGACGCTTTGATAGACACTAAAAACATGATTAACACACGTGTCTCGGGCAGGTAACGCGGACTTAATAAGGGTACACTCGGTTAAGGTGCTATCTCGATGAACCATGCCAGCAGCGATAAACAAGCGCTCCTTTCACGTTCAAGGCGCCATTCGATCGTCAACGACACTGTCAACGACCGCTTTCAAGCGCCCTTACCTAAAATGGAAACAGCATTCTCACGATAGCGAAACTGTTCCATTTGCACAAGATCATCGCCATGGGAATCCATTACTTTAACGAAGACGTTACACCTGTTTCCACCTATCAACCTCTTTTTATATAATATTTCTCGCCACAAACTAATATCAATATTTTTTGGATTAATTAAAATCAATGCCAGCTATTACTATTCATTGCAATGCCTTCGAGTCATCGAAAATGTAAAAATTTCGTTTCAAGGAAAATGATAAAACGACTGCTCGCGATTTGGTGCGAGGACACAATTGGCACCGCGATCACGCAACCGAGGAACCATCGAGCGTGCGGGGACTGTAAGGAAGAAATCCGCGACGAAAGAGAGAGGGAAATGCAGAGAAAGAAAGAGGATTGCACTTTAGGGCATAACGGCATCCGCACGACCCACGGTCGCCGTGTCACGATGATGCAAGTCGGTGTTTCTGTGTCGATGCGGAAAGCAGTTACCCATAGAGAAAGCGACGGAAACGAAGCGAGGAGGAGTTAGAGAAGGACCAAGCGTACACTCGGTGAGCTTTCTTCTGCTGAAGCCAGCACAGCCCCCGCGGCAGCCCGCGATGTCCCATCGACACCGAGCAACTCTATGACTAACAAGTTTGCACTTTAGCGCATAACGGGGCATTCCAGCGTCTTCCATAGATCATGGTCCATGACCCACGGATTGCGTGGGCCGGGCACCATAACCATTCCTCGCCGATATAGCGACGGCGTGGTCCCGGTACCACGAGCATTAAGTTTCCAGCTTCTTCGTCTTTCGTCTCATCCTTACCACTTCCTCGCGTATGCAGACTTCTCTCTTCGCGAAACCAGACTTCGCCGCTTCGCCGAGTCATCATTCGATAATCGTGATAACGGAATTATTCGCGAAGTTGCACTCACGGCTTCGATCCTTCTTCAATCTGATCGAGAGTCTTTGAAGCAGCCGCCTCGGATGTAGTTACTTTTAGCAGAAGTCGCAAAACCATAAATAGAACAAGCTTCCACGTAGAGACGTAAAAAAATGGTGAAATGGTGAAAAATGATGAAAATATACGCCGAAATCCCTAAAAGGAACTGAATTCACCACCTCTTCAAAGACTTCAAATTGAAGATCTAACAAGAAGGCCTTGATTTTTCTTAAATTTCTCGACAGTTTAAAACAGTAAGACGATTTATCTATAGAATGCAAAATAATATATTTACCTACGAAGGATTAATGCCTTTAATATCACTATATTTTATAATATCATCGAGGCACTTTATCCTTATATATTCCTTAATGCACGATCATTTTCAAATAACCTAACGGTGCAACGTTATCACCGATACCCCGAAAGGTCCTCGATTCTTCGTCCCCTGTTTATAACCATGGTTTACGCAACGCAGAATCTTTTTCGCGGACGTAGTTATCTCGGTGTGTCGCGTTACCTCAAATTTATTTGAGCGACGCTCAAAGGTCGTTCGAAGAATGCTATAAATCGTAGCCTTTAACGATTGCCCAGTTCTTTCAATAAGTAACTGGTAATGTCGGATGGAAGCATACATCAGGAAATCACCTCTTAGTACGGTAAGGTCGTCGTGTAAGTAAGAGTCTTAGGTCAGGATGCCAACGCTACCGCGCGATGCCCCACACGAGGAGACCCTATAAGCTGTAACCGACCACCTTACGCTCTATTGACACCCAACAGACCTAAGAACCGGCTGTTTCGGAAGATGCCTGCCAGAGATAGCTTGATTACCGTGAATGTGGAACGACGTAACACCTCCGACAGCCGTTACAACGCTACTCCTACTACTGTATTCACCGGTGTAATTTGTGCCCGTTATTGTAGTCACGATTGCGGTGCACATGAATACCAAATTTCTAGGTTTAAGTTATGAAATATGTATTTTTTTTTTTCTTGGATTAAATAAAAGATACTGTTGATCAAGAACTACAGCGAATGATATATTTTCAACGACAATGTAAAAAGCTTCTCGAGCAAATTACCGAAGGTTGCAATTTAAATTATAATTCGCTCATAGGACGTGTTATCACTACTGTATCCCTAGTTGGTAACACAAAGGCGGTAAATCAAAATTTGCCAATCGATTTAAATATAAGCACAGGTTTCCTCGAAGGCAAACAAATTGTCCTCGCTTTCTCTAGGTTCTCATCGTCAGTTCAACGCCCATAGAGGAGCAATAAATCGATGGCAACGTGATTACGAGCGAAGATTAATTGGCTATCAATATCGTAGCCTGACGATAGAAATATAATGCGACCGGATATTATCTCGGTTACAAAATCTAAATTGCTCGCTCGCCACCATCAAACTACCATTCCCGACACCGGTACGCGATTATCCCTCGATGCATTTTTTGTAATCGTAATTATCATTAATATTGTT